AGGAAGGAAGGAAGGAAGGAAGAAAGGAAGGAAGGAAGGAAGGAAGGAAGGAAGGAAGGAAGGAAGGAAAGAAGGAAGCAGGGAGGGAGGGAAGAACTAAGGGAGGGAGGAATTCCTTGCTTGCTTTCTCTACTAATGTCTCTACTGCTCAATAGGATAAAAGATGCAAAGAATTAATGTTTCTGCATTGCGTGTCTAATTGCAAACCAATTCTTTACCTCATCAAATTCTCCCAGAAATTCTATTCTGATCTCTCCAGTACACTCCATATTCAATCCAAGCTCAACCCTTTGCATTTCTACAAAGCACGCCTTTTTTTGTTGCAGCATCAGACTTTTGGAATCCATCAAACCACCCACCACCCATCCTAAAATTAGATTGGCCCTGATCCCGCCAGCTTTTTGGAAAGCTTTGAAGATTGGGGTTGGATTGATGGCTGCAGCCCATCAGATTCTTTGCAGAAGATTGTCTTCTTGCTGTATTTGTCCTAACAGGTATTTAATTTGCATTATGACTTTAAGTGATGTTAACTCAAGTTCCTGTATGGAGATGGATGGTCATATAAATTGAATTAATAATAAAAATAACTTGATTAAACCAAACCTGATAAACTCATAAAAGTTATACAGTACTGAAGCTCTCAGTTGTCTATAGCTCATGGTGTCTTTCCAACAAAATAGGCATTCTTTTAGGATGCACTGTTTTGTTTTTGACTAAATGAAATATTTTTAAAAGCAAAAGCCATTCAACTTTGAATAATTTAATCTCTAAATTCTAAAGCTGATTTTGGCACTATGAAGATAACTTTAACCAGTGAAAACTGGATGTCAGTTCTATGAGAGAGAAAAAATTCTTTCCTCTTTCATCTATCCCCATGTAAGGGAAGAAAGAGGGCAAGTGAGAAAATGAGCGTACATGGGAGCAAGCTGGGCTCAATTCTAATGAAAGAAAATGGTCTTGATTTGGTCTTGCTGCAGGAAATGATTTGAGCTTATGCCCATGGGTGAGCCAGATATTTTTAACTCTCTAACATTTAATAAAATGCTTTCATTTCTGCAAAAGTTATTATTCACATCTATCCTGTTCCCAACTGATAATAATAAGTATTACATGGATGAGAATTCTGTTCCCCAAAGGTCTTAAAGTTGAAATTATGCAACTAAGAAACAGCAGAGGAAGACATGTGGTTATCATTTAATGTTCAGAATGTCTAAGGTAATATATAAAAAAAGAAGATACTGTACTTGCAAAATGCTGCCTGTTTCTTATAAGTCTGCGCCGCTTTAGCTAAAATTCTCTCAAGTTGCTTTCAGCATTGACACTGACATTTTATTGGTGCCACTTCAGACACTCCTGGGATACTGGGAAGAAGCTGGGAAACAAGAATCACTTGGTTTCATTAAAAAACGGTATTTATTGCTAGTAGAGTAATAGAATCTCAAACGTCTACCAAAGTCGATCTCCCACACAACTTCTACCTAGTGTGATTTAAGGCAGAATTACTCAGAATCTACTATTCATGCTTTTCCCTTTCACAGGACTCAAGAATTTGTTCTGTAATGGCCTGGTTTCTCCCTGTAATTTCTTCTGTATTTCCAAGGACTATTAGGCCATCCTCCCACCGCTTCATCTCAAACTCATTCTTCTGCTCCTTTCTAAATACATGGAAAGTGATGACACCCCTTCCAGTCTATAGAGATGATCAGCCCTCTCCCTTTTCCTTCCAATGCCATCCCTCCCAGCCTTAGTAGGCCATTTTGAAGTGCCAGGGCTTGAAGAAGCTAGTAGAAGAAGGGGCGAGAGAGATAATCCTGCTAGACTGCAGCATCACACTAGGTAGAAGTTGTGTGGGAGATTGACTTTGGTAGGCGTTTGAGATTCTATTACTCTACTAGCAATAAATACAGTTTTTTTATGAAACCAAGTGATTCTTGTTTCCCAGCTTCTCCCCAGTATCCCAGGAGTGTCTGAAGTGGCACCAATAAAATGTCAGTGTCAATGCTGAAAGCAACTTGAGAGAATTTTAGCTAAAGCGGCGCAGACTTATAAGAAACAGGCAGCATTTTGCAAGTGAAGTATCTTCCTTTTTTATATATATCTGAAAAGCAGGTGGTAGGTCATGTAGTGAAGTAGAAGAGATCATGCTCCATCACACAGCCCTTCAGCATCAGTCAGCTGATTTTGAAGGCTACTTTGGAACATGGCTTTAATGTCCTTTTGAGAGTGTGCTAAACTCCTGTTCAGACTCCTTCTGAAGACAGATTGACCACTCTTCCAGAAGAATGTGCTTGAAAGTAGCCCAATGAACAAATGGTAAGGGACCTGGAACATATTATTATATGTGGTGGACATGCGTAGAAGCTAAAAGATATTGGACAAAAATACATATGTGGTTGGAAAAGATGATACAGCAACATATTGACTTAAAACCTAAAATATACCTGAAAATTATAGTAAAGAGAATGTATATTTAATTATTCATGTGCTAACTGCAGCTAGAACTATTTTTGCACAAAATTGGAAAAGTGAAGAGATTCTGACTGAAGAGAGAATGATTAGGAAAATATTAGACTGTGCAGAAACAAATAGGTTAACACTAGCAATTCAAGAGTAGGAATAAATTGAATATTATATGATATGGGATTTATTTTATCAATGGTTGGAAACAAATATGGAAGTTAGAAATTAAAGACTAGCACAAAATAGTAAACATGTGGTAAGAATTAAAAATGTTAAGATGGGGAATGTTATAAGAATTAGATATATGATACAGATTAGTATTAAGTAATAACAGAGTATTAAAGTTAAGCAATGAATATGTATAAACTATAATGGTTATTGCACAAGAGATTTATACCCAGATGACACACGGTTCAAATTAAAAATGGAGTCTTTGTATAAATAAAATAAAAAAATTATATATACATATATTTTAAAAAAGAACAAATGGAAGGGTTTGGAACAGGTGCTTATTGCAGTGGGAGAACTTCTTCCTAGTTCCTCTTAGGACCATTGCTCAGTGAATCTGCCAGATGTGAGGACTAATTTTAACCACTGGTTTGGGGTTCTTCTGAAAGATCATACAACAACTGACAGGCAAGTGAGATTTCCACTAACATTTAGTTTTAGACTTCAGTCAGAGGTCCCCTGAAGTAAAGGAAAGAGAATGGCCCTTGCTCATTTCATACTTCTATGCTACTGCTAATCGAAAGATCAAGTTGGAGACTTGGTGAGTTTATGAAACTATCTATTTTGAAACATTCACACTTCCGTACAGCCCCCCAAAAGAATGAGCCTGAAGGACAACGTGCAGGGAGTAGGGGCAAGGGAGGATGCTTGCATCAAGCCTAAAGCTTCAAAAGTAACTGATTGAATGATAGATGAGTAAAGTAGTAAAGTTTCCGTGGCTCGTTGCTTGTTTAAGGGGAAACAACCAAGAATAATATATTAAGTTGCCTCAGATAGGCACAGGATGAGGTAAATGCAACCGTATGAGGAAAAGAAGGATGTTAGGACAATAGGACATGTTTGGCTATGGTTAGGTACAAATGGGGAAATACTCCATGTTTCATTGTGATATTTCTGTGTTCAAGAGAAGTATCCTTTTTGTCAGTATTTCAACATTTCTGGGACTCTGGACAGAGTCAGGTTTATGGTTTGAATTTACAACTGCACACTGTGTGCAAAATATACAATTCAGTGCCATGTTTGAATCACACATTTCAATCTTCAAATGAAATATTACATTGCTAAATATGTTGCATTTGTGTTATCTTTTGAAAATAGACATGATATCAGAATTTCAAAGTTTTAGCTTTAAGTCGTACTTTGTGCAAAAAATTAAGTTTAGCAAATGTTCTCTGAACAAATCTAGACTTTAAGTGATTTACAGATCATGCTAAATCCTGGTTTTTGACCATCCCAAAAAGGGCCTTTGAAAGGAGAATGAGAAACTAGAGAAAGCATGGCATCCTTCTAATTAACTGAGCACATCCAATATTTTTTCTTTTTCCAACATCTGAAATCTTCTCCAAACACATTTACTGAGAGAATAACCAGTTTTAAAATCAAAAGGTATGCCTGTTTTTTTGGTGCGGGGGAAAGAGGCCAAATTAGTGCCTTCACTAACCAAGATATAATAAGTAATACCATGTCATGTTGATACTTATGTGTTATGTCCCACCTTCAAAAATAAACAGATAAGGCTGAAAGCAGCAGTCCTCGCAAACAAAGGCAGCAACCAGGAGTCTCCACCGATCACAGCTGTGGCCAGCCTCCACAAAACAATCCAAAATAATAGTTCCAACAAATCCAATTCAAACAAAAATACTTCAGACCCAAATCCTCCAAGTCAAAGTCTTCAGCTCTCCTTGCAGACAATTTGTTCCCGACAAGAGTGCAGAGTCATCCCTCTTCCTTTTATAGAGCAGCAGCTAATTAGTCTAATTACTGATCTGCCCTCCTCCTGTGCTCCCGTTGGTTTCTTCTCGTCAGGAGACGCCTGCTTCTGACATCCACCCAGCGATTATCTAAATTATTACTTTCACCTGAAGACTTCCCGGCTGATAACCTGATTGAGAAGCCGAGGAGGTTGAAGGTTCAGGCCGGTCCTGCAAATCAAATGTCCTCCCTTGTAACATTCTCATTCAAAACTGCAAGCAAAACTGTTAGGATTCCCTTTTGAAATTCAAACAGTCATTTCACGATCAAATCAAACTACAGGGAGTAATGTTCTCATTCAAAACTGCAAGCAAAACTGTTAAGATTCCCTTTTGAAATTCAACAGTCATTTCACAATCAAATCAAACTAAAGGGAGTAACGTTCCCTGGTTCTGACGTCAATCCACGATCTAACAGTCATCAGATTCAAAGTTCCTAACAGGATTGGACCTTCCAATCACAACACTTATGATATAAGCATGTATTATATAAACACACACACAAAGCTAGAGAAATTCATTATTTCCATAGCAAAGGAAATCATAGCATTCAGTACTTACTTTCCACCCCAGTAGAGTTTTGTTGTAATGACCAGACTTGATCTCCTAAACAAACAAAGCAAATTAAATTTCAATTTTGTTCAAAACAGATTCCTTAAGAAATACCAATGTCGTCCATGTTTTTCCAAATGCAGTCTCACCTCTTACATTGCCAATTTAAGCTATGTCTCTAAACAGAAAGACTGTTTGAAAGACTTAGTGCAATTGCTAACATTATGACCTCTACATGTTAAAGATGTAGGGTTGTGATTGAATGCTCAGTCTAATTCTTTTCTTAAGAAAACATCCATAGGATGAGAGATTTGAGAAAACAGAGATAGCTTATCATCATGACAAATATCTAAAATACATGCTGAAGCAGCCACAGAGCGTTCCCATTTATCATTGGCAATGAATTTGTGCAGCATTTGACAATGCCCTTGGAACCCCAGAATAAAACAACACTGTAGTAATATAATGGTACAATATACTATACATAATTGTTTCTTTTTTCAATTGTTCTATTTTTTTTCTTTTTATGTTCAATGTTATTTAAAAGTAGTGCTATTAGTAATAGCAAGAAGTAGTAAGAAACAGCAGCAACTGTAGCTAAAATTTGGTATGATTCTCTCATGAGATCTCTCAAGATCTTGGAAGTAAAACCATTTGAACCTCAGAAAATACAGCAGTTCAGTCATTTGCTTGTATCAGGCACCTGAAAACATTTTTGATCTATATTATGTACTTTGGCATTCTTTCCTTCAAAAAGAGAGTGAGAAATTTCTTCCATTCTTCATTGTTTCCTTGAATTGTCATATGACTGACTATTCAGACTGTGATCTCTCTATAAAGTACACAGCATGTTGGGCTTTTTAAGGTTTAAAAAAGTGAGAGATTAAATGAATTCCGTTTCCGTCTTTCTTTCAGTCTGGCAAGTGTTTCTACTCTGCACAAATTGGAAGCAGAGAGAAACAGATTTTTGATAGCTTGCACCTCCCCACCTGTATAGACAAGCACTGTGGGGAGGATATATGTTGGCACTGCATTTTCAGATAGTTGAAGCATGATGAAGTCAATGGGCTTTAAGAAGGTAACGCTGAAGGGTACCATTCTTTTATATTCTGCTTGCACAAAGGGGAAGCAAATTCTGACAGGTACCTACATCAATATCCCTTAGGAAAAGGGAGAGAATCAGTTTAGCCCTTAAACATCTCAACTTTCCCTTTGCTTGCAAAGGCAAAGACTGAAAAAAATTGTAACACTATTGTAGATAGAGTCATAAAACATTAGCACATGACTACATTGCTGTTTATTTTTCTATAAACTGATAGAATGCCCAGACACATGCATTAAATCAGGACAATCTCAATAAAATTTGGATCTGTATAAACCTAAACAGAAACTTGGAAAAGCTAAGTGGAACAAATCTTTTATAGTTATTTAAAGATATCTTCAAAACTTTGCCTAGCTCCATAAGGGCAAGTTATTGGAAGTATTCCAGCTTCTTAAGCAAACCATCAATAGAGCAGTTGGTAGAAGTTGGTCTCTATGATCTCCTACAGAAATAGGAAGCTCAGAATTAGCCAGGCAATAGGCTTGGATGTGAGATCAGGTCTGAAAAGCCTTAGAAGCACAAGCTGGCAGAGTTCTGTGAGTCTGAATTATTCTCCATTCTACAATTAATGCAAACAGCATATAAACAACAAAACATCCTACCTCCAGCCTTTCTTTTTGATAATGTTTCCCAAAATAATTTCAGCCCTGTAAAAATAAAATAAAAATTACAGATCATAAGTATTTTCAGAATTCATTTGTCAGGCTACCTATGCCATTCATGTGTTTCAATATTCACAATATTTGAACAGGTGCCAATTCTTTTTGAGGGAGCTGTACTGGTTGCCAATTTATTTCCAGGTGCAACTAAAGAAGTTGGTTATCACCTTTAAAGCCCTACATGACTTGGGATGAGGCTGTTGAAGGACCACTTCTCCCTAGTTACCTCTATCCAAGTAGGACATGTGACTCCCATCTATTAAAAAAATACATTTGGTGAGATCAAGAAAAAGGGTCTTCTCTGTAGTGGATCCCTCCTTGTGGAAGATCATTCACCCAGAGATAAAATTGACCTCCCCCACACACACCTTGTTACCTTTTGAAAGACCCTCTAAATATGGTTCTGTTGGAGAGGTTGGGTTGATACCGAGCTGATCAAGTGGCTTGTTTGATTGGATTTGTCACTACTATGGGAGGAGGGGTGGGTTTTTAATTTTGGCTTTTTATTGCCGTATATTGCCCACAGTCACATTGTGTGAGTTTGGAACCTATATAAATTTGTTTAATAAATATAAATAAACATAAATGCATATTTAATAATTTGTCATTTCATACAAAGAAAGTTTGAACAGATAATCCCTTCCCACACTTTTTAAAAAATCTAATTAATAATTTTGGTTTTGGAACTGGGCAGAAATGAAATAAACACTTAGCTGTACATGCAGTACAGAAGAACTTCCTTGTTCTATTAAGTTCACCAAGATATTTTGTTATGGTTTGAAGTTTTTCAGTTTGGAGACATGGAGGGAAAAGAAAATTTGATTGCTGACTTGTATAAAAGGAGAAATGAAGAGGCTGCAAGAAAGGACAAATGATTGATGCACATCTCAGCTTATGGCAGAGAAGCAATAGAAATATAAATATTAAGACATATGGAAACCAATGTTTTATTTTCTATATATATATATTTAACTGAATCATTTTGCTCTGTCTCCAAATGTCACAGCAGAGTTTGTGTCCATGGAAAGCAAAATGTCACAGTTTTACTCAGAAAATAATCACCAAATCATCTGGCCACCAAGGCAAACCAGTCCGTGGTGCCTTGAATCATAACTGCAGAGTATGGGATATTTTTTGTTGTGCTCAAACTGTCTTGTGAAATGTCAGCAGTTTCCCCACCAGAAAATAGACTTCCAATATTCTTTTACCTCTAAGTAAGCACCTCCATTTTAAAGTTCAAAGTCTTTTGTTTTTGGCTTTAATGGAGATGTTGAGACCAGAGATGAAAATCTAGAGGAACCCGGGTTTAGAGTCAGTATTATATACAAGCCTTGCTGCATTTGAAATCCCTAAATAAATTCAGAACGCACAGAGAATTGCAGAGGTAAGATGTACGGAGATCCTGAGAACTGAGATAAATTCAGATGAACAGAACAAGAAATATATTAAATGGACAGGCTATGTCTCTGTGTATATGTTTTGCCTGTGTGTATGTAAAGAAACATGGATGAAAATGGGTAGGCATATGGACAGAATTCCCCAAGGCCACTGAGCGATTGGAGAAAACTCCTTTCCTTTATGATGGTGTCAACCAAGAGAAAAGCTGTGCATGAGTGTGGCCTGGTTGTGATTCTTTCTTTCTGTTCCCTGGATTCTGCCTACTACCATAGTCCAGCTTTGGCAGCCATCTGTCAGCAGGCCTGGAGGGAATTTACAAAGAAATGACTATTTTTTGAGATATTTTGTGAAACAATTTGGTTCAGGCAGTTTCCACTACCATATTAGCAGAAAGGAATTATTGTAATCCTACTAAATTGGATGAGGTGAATCTCCTATCCCTCTCATATAATAAATGAAACAAATCCTTGGTTTTCCTGTCAGAAGAACAGCTACAAGAGTACATACACATAAATTTATATACACAACCATATGTGAAATAGTAGCATGTTCAAAAATGAACAATGAAAGTCACAGCACAGAGTTTTGGCTTTAATTGGTGTAAGGAATAACATATAGAACATGATTTAAGACAGATCCTCATCAACCTAGTACTTTTCAGATGGTTTGGACTTCAGCTCACATAATCTTTAGCTAGTATAACTAGATATTATGGCAATTTTATAAGACTAGGGAGACGACCGGGTCCCATTTTTAGATTGCCTGGAATTACTTATTAGATGTAACTGGCAGGTTAAGAAGGATAAGTTGAGGATGAAATTCTGGACTACACTGAGCTGCTACTGAAGCTGGTTAGGATTTCTCCTGTAATATTTGCTATGATGCAAAATTCCATCGTATCAGTTACATAAAATGGAGACAGGGAAGTCCTCACTAATTTTAACAAACACATTTCTTCTAGCTGACATTATTTTCTCTCTTTTTAGTCCAAGAACATGGGAAACTGTCTCATACTAAACACAGGTAGTCCTCAATTTACAATCATTCATTTAGCAGCTGTTCAAAGTTACAATGGCATGGAGAAAAGTGACTTACAACCACTTATGACTATCACAATATCCTCACAGTCATGTGATCAAAATTTGGATGCTTGGCCACCGGCATGTATTCACATCAGTTGCAGCATCCCTGGGTCAGTCGCTATTTGTGACCTTCCCAACTGGCTTCTAATAAGCAAAGCCAATGAGAAAAGCCAAATTTGTGTAACAACGGCCTTGGTTAGCAATGGAAATGAAAATTATGGTTCAAACTGTGGTCGTAAGTTGAGGGCTACCTATAATTCTATTCATTCATCCATCCAACCTAATATGACTGATACTGATAAACAGCAGATCCCCATGTTTTCAAACAGGTGTTTTCCCAGTCCTACATAGAGAGGTCTGGATTAAATGTGGGACTAAAAAAAATGAATTAAAGTTCAGCCACTGATCTATATGGTGCCTACTTGAAAAGCCATAATATTCAATTAAGAAATAAGATCTACCTATGATGGAAGAATAAAAATAAAATAAAAAGAATAAAAATCAGAACACCAAATACAAGCTGGGCGAAAATGATCTCGTAGACAACCCTCACTCTGTCAAGGTCCCAGGAGTACTTATCTCAAACTATCTAAGCCCCAGAGCTCACTGTAACAGCATTGCCAAAAAGGCATTAAGAGTTGTTAACCTTATTTTGCGAAGCTTCTTCTCCGGTAACATTGACTTGCTAACTAGGGTATACAAAACCTTTGCCAGACCAATTCTTGAATACAGCTTGTCTGCCTGGAACCCACTTAAAATGCTGTTTCATTTTAATGTATATTAAAATGCTGTTTCATTTTAATGTACATCAAACATTAACATGATTGAGCAGGTTCAGAGGTATTTCTCGAGAAGAGTTCTCCACTCCTCTACTCACAATAGTATTCCCTATGCCTCTAGGCTTGAAATTTTGGGTTTCGACAATCTGGAACAGTGGCCTGTGGTCCGATCTAAGCATAGTTCACAAAATTGTCTGCTATAACACCTTGCCCGTCAACGACTTCTTCAACTTCAATTACAATAATACATGGGCAAACAACCAATACAAACTCAAGGTAAATCATGTTGCAAACTCGATTGCAGAAAATATGACTTCAGCAACAGAGTGGTCAACACTCTGTTCTACCTGACTCCGTTGTTACAGCCTCAAACCCTCACAGCTTCCATCTCAAACTGTCTACCATGGACCTCGCCCCATTCCTAAGAGGTCCTTAAAGGGGGTGTGCATAAGCGCACCAGCATGCCTACCGTCCCTGTTGTACTGTCCCCATTTATCTATATTTACTTCCCTCATTTTTGTTTATGTTCATACTTATACTTGTTATTTTCTACATGTTTGACAAACAAATAAATAAAAATAAATAAAACAAATGGAAGAAGAGAAGCATAGATACGTACTTTCCAGCTGCATATACCTCTGCTGTGTCAAAGAGATTCACACCACTTTCATATGCAATGGTCATTAGATGTTCAGCCACCTTTGGGAAATAGAGACATTAAATTAATCTTAGAAATATAAAAACTCTCTGTCCCCAGTCTTGCAATTTTTTCAGGAATGACTCATTATAAAATAGTTTCAGAGCTTAATGCCAAATCTAGCTTAATTTTTAAATCATGGACGATGGACCGAATTTAGGATGCAGGAAAGTAGATAGCCACTATTTCTTACCAATACTCACATTTTTGAAACTGGGATCTTTGCTCACACCAATTCCAAGTAGTTAAGTACATTACTTTCCTAACTCAAGCTTGAAACTGCTTGCAATCATCTTCAACACTAAGGCTTTATGTGATATCCAGTGTATATTGCAATAAATAGTAATAGTTAACAATTAACTGTTTATCAAATCAGCTTTCTTATGATACACAGAACTTTTCAATCGTGAAAATGTATGCTACAATATGTTCATTAGCATGATAGAAATCATTAAAATCAATGTGAGTTGATTTAACCAACATACTGTAAATGGGTATAACATTATAACTTAAAGCACTATTGATATAAATTATAGGGGTCATCAGAAGTAGGAAACCAATGTGTTCTATTATGTGATAGTGATCGATCATGAATCTAAGAACAGTCATGGTTGAGAGTCAGGATTCCCTAATTCACATTTCATTCTCTTAATAGCTTTGATATCATGGCTTCAGAGATGTGTACAATGCACAGAACAGCTAATTTTAGATGGCCCGTGTCGGGATCAAAAAAAATGTACACTACATTTTATCTGGAAATGACCCAGCAATATTGGTCTAAGGTTGGGTATGACATGCAGGTTTCAAGAGCTGGGCAGCAGGAAAGCAGGCAAAACCACTGGAAAGGAAGACTCTGAAAAGATCAGGGACGAGTGAGACAGATAGTCTGTGCTTGAATTCAAGGATGGTAGTTAAGAGGAATAAGGGACGTGGTGGCTCAGTGGCTAAGATGTTGAGCTTGTCGATCAGAAAGGTCACCAGTTTGAATCCCTAGCACCGCGTAACGGAGTGAGCTCCTGTTACTTGTCCCAGCTTATGCCAACCTAGCAGTTCGAAAGCATGTAAAAATGTAAGTAGAAAAATAGGGACCACTTTGGTGGGAAGGTAACAGCATTCCATGTGCCTTCGGCATTTAGTCGTGCCAGACACATGACCACAGAGACTGACAGCACTGGCTCTTTGGCTTTGTAACGAAGATGAGCACTGCCCCCTAGAGCTGGAAACTACTAGCACAAACATGTGAGCTTACATTTACCTTAGTTAAGAGGAGATAATGGAAAGGCTGTATGTAGGCCATTAAGAAGACAAGGAGCAAGTGGAGAAATATACCAGTCTTGTCAACTAGCCATGTAAGATCCCTCTAGATTTTTATTTGACCAAAACCCAGATCAAACCTGCTCAGCCTTAAAGCATATTCTTGCTATGAGTTCCATGCTACTGTCTTTGGAGACCAAGTGTGCCAAATTTGAACTAGGCTGCTTTATTACCATAGATGAAATAGTATATATCCAATTAAGAGAAATGAGGTTTTTCTTATTATGATCATGCTTTGCCGTATCCTGTTTCGGTTTATTCAGACTTCCATGACATGGCTTTCAATTTTAATGCAAATATTAAAGTTATGTATTTATTTCTAGATTACACAAGTTTGGTTTTCTAGGTTGTCATTAAATGACACATCACTCACCTCATCTGAAACTTGACCTCCAAAAGTCACCCAAGTCCCTAGAGATAAAAGGAGATTTATTAACATTTAGGACATTATTTTCATAAATCAAAATATATGATAATTAAGAAATTGTTCTTTATAGGATCTCCTGATGTTTGATCTATTGAGGATCCATTATCTTATGAGAAAGTATTTCAATGATATTGAATTTTAACCATTGTACTAGCTGACCAGCTCCTGTTCCCTAAACAACTTCAACTAAAGTAGGGATTCCTTCCTTTCGAACAGAAGACGAATGAAAATGCCTTGGGATTATGTGGATGTTTCTATACCAGTAGCATGGATAGCTCCAGGATCAAAGCCAGATTTGATAAGCCTCATCTGTGTTTGGGAGCTGAGTTAATTTATTTCTAATTCTTCTTTGGTTTCTTATAAACAGCAGTAAATTTGGCCTTTTTCTCTGATGTGCTCCAATTTGGCCTTTTTCTCTGATGTGCTCCAATTTGGCCTCCACTGTAAATGGTTCTTTTCTCCTGAGGAGAACTCTTGTCACAATCTGGCTTATGAACTCAAACAAACTATTATTCTTCTCTTTTCTTCAATTCCCCAATTCATTCATGCAACTTAGAACAGATTTTTTCTCCTTTCCCAATCCACCTGCTTTGGCATCCAATCCCTGCTCACAGGACATGCTGATATGCCATCAATGCACCTTCACAACTTGCAAGAAGTTTGTAATGCAACAGCAGAAAGGTGGCCATGAAGCTTTTGGACATTTCAGTTATACAGTTTTTGCAGTTGATCTTCCCTTAAGCCAACTGTTTTCTAAGCAAACCACAAGAAAGGTGAACAGAAATAAAAATACTGAAAACATGTATCGCTATGTTTGTGCTTAAAAAAGCCATATTTCTTGTGTGTTATTCTAAAGTCAGTAATAATTCAGGAACTAGAATCTGATTATATGTGACATTCTTTGTATCTTTGCCATTAGATTCAAATTTGTATCATATTTCTCTTCATTCTACAATAGATAAATAAGGAATATAATCTATTTGTAACAAATTCCATGGAAAAATGGAATTCTACAAAAGCAAGCCATTTCCACAAAAGTGTTCATTTTTAAAATTAGTAAACAAGTAAAACGTCTATCTTTCTCAAAGTGAAAAGCTAGCACAAGAAAACCAAGCCACGTCATCAGAATGAACTAAATATATCCACGTGCTTAAAGTACAGTTCAATTTTTATATTGAATTTTTATACTTATAAACCAAGCATACGAATACAGCAAAATATCTAATACATTTACCATATAATTATAGCTTTGCTTAACATGGTTCTAAAGAACACATGTTTATGGTTTTTACAATTCAGGTTTGTGTAACCTGGAAGATGGCAACACATACACACATTACTTGTTCATGCCCACAGGTAAATTCTTCTGAATTGTCTTAGAGTGCTTTTTCAAAAGGCAATTGGACCTTCTTTGTTTTTCCTTGATGAAGTTTCACCTGTCATCCATTCTTCAGTACTGATGCTTCTTAGATGAGAAGCAAAACATCTTTAAGGGGAAACCAAAAATGTCCAGTCATTTTTTGAAAAAGCATCTTTGGGACAACTATGACCTGGATGACTGAGAATCTCCATAGACTTCTGAATTGTATTATTGCAAGAGGGGCTGACCAATACTTCGATTATTTCTTTCACAATAATTTCCCCTGTTCTAAGCAAAAATATATATATTTTTTAATATTCAGTATCTGCCATTGAGAGCAAAAAATAAAATAAAATCCCTTCCCTTGTTTAATATACAGCCATAACAAATTATTAGACCTTGCTGATCAGTAAAAATTGAAATAGCCTTTGTTTCTGTTCTCACTGGCAAGCTTTACAGATTGTGCTATGGAAAGCAGAGTGCTGAAGTGTGAAAAATTGAATTAAAACATCACCCTTTGCACATTGTTACCTAGTTACCATGTCACTTTGATTCAGTCACAGTTACAAGGCAATCTCAAAGATGCCAAATTCAGTGTATTCATGCTCTAATATATAAGTGTGTTAGGGCTTGAACTGAGGGAATCGTGAGAAAAAATTTATAAGGAACTATCTCTTGAGAGAACTGTAATGAGTAACCTAATATCATTTTCCTGGCCCAGAAGACTCAAAATGCTGCATTACCTTGGGTCGTGAACGCTCCTGTTCGCAAACAAATGAATGGAAACTAATCAAGGAGGGAAGCAACCTGGAATTAAGCAGAAACTTCCCAACAGTGAGGACAATTAACCAGTGGAACAGCTTTGCCCTCAGAAGTTGTGGGTGCTTCATCCGTGGGGGTTTTGAAGAAGAGACTGGACAGCCACCTGTCTGAAATGGTATAGGATTTCCTGCTTGAGGAGTGGGTTGGGCTAGAATACCTCCAAGGTCTCTCCAAGGTCCAACTCTATTCTGATTAATTGTTTTTTGTGCAATAGTATAGTATTATGTATCAACTAAAATTCTGAAAGATTTCTATCATGTCTGAAAACTTTTAATTTGAAGTGTTGTTTCAAAGCTTAACCACAAGGGGACAAAGTAATTATGATTCTGCTGTGTTTCCCAAAAGATTTGTTTTTGCATTTGAAATGAACATATGAATTTTTAACATTTATTTCTTCCAGTGACTGTGGCACCTCCAGATATATTGGGACTGTGTTTGAGAGAAATTTCAGACTATGGTCATACTGGTTACCTGAGGCTGGCTGAAGAAAAGAACACCAAAGATGGACAAATGGAAATGTTTGTCCGGTATTGGATATTCTCAGCTATAGTTAATTCTGACCCATATTCACATTCATTTATGGATACGTAAATTTCTATGGATTATTGTGCACAAAATCATTTGTGGAAACATTGCATTCAATTTATGCTAATATACACTTTTTTTTTGCAAATTCATTTCCCTAATAGTTTTCCAAAACATTCTTATGCATATTTTGATGTGTAAAATTTATTGCAGAATGTAAAAAGTACAAAACCTGAAGCTAATTACATTCTAACAGACATACAAATTCAGCAAACAAAAAAGCATGGCACATCAGGGTGAATTAAAGAAATTCTGTGCTATTCTCCAGAAGAAAATGAAAAAACTGGAGAGGTGTAGGGTGATTGACAGAGCAAATGTAAAAAAATTATTATAACACAGGAATGAAGTAATGCTAATAATGGCAGTTAAAATAAGCACAATGCATATTTTTCCAGCTCTAAAATATGCTTTCACAAATTCTTTAATTCTCTATGAAAGCTCTTACAATTCTTCTCTAAAGACAACTTTTTTCAATCATTTTCATTATGTTTATTTCTATAATAACATATTAGCAAAGGAAAGAGATAAATCTTAAACCAATTCAAAAGCAATTTAAGAAAAATGGTTATGAACAAGACTTTAAAGTATTTAAGTATGCTTTTCTCCATAAGTTAGAACATGAAAATCCAGAGCATAAAAATTATTGCTTCAACTAACTATTATAAAGGGACTCTCAAGACAAAATCAATCAAGAATGCAGTATTTTTGAAACAATATCAAAGGTGATTCTGAAACAATATTACAGCCACAATGAATAACTTGCTTCAAAGTCATTATCACTGTATACAAATGGATACCTGGGAGATTTAATTTAACTTACTTGATTTTACCATCACCAACTCCAAATGACTCAGGCAGTTTTTGGGGTCTATCTTTATGATAGGCTGGCCTTAATTTGTAATGGCATAAATGAAACTTAATATTTATAGCTTGGGAATTGTAAACTAAAGATATACTGTATAATACAATAAAATCCTGGGGAGACAGCAACCTCAGGGACACATAGCTTAATGAGTTGTACATTGTAATTAAAATTATGTTTTGGGTCATTATGTGCATTGTTTTTAATGTCAGCCATGCAAAATGTTCTAGCCTCAGATTTCAGCAGATGCTTATCTGCACTCTGCACAGATGAATGTATGATGCAAATGTTTATTATAAAATATAACATATCACACACAGAAATGGGCTGCTGGGGTTCACAGGGGTTCTGGAGAACCCCTAGCTAAGATTCTGTGTAGTTCAGAGAACCCCCAAATCCACTCCTGGCTGGCCCCTCCCACCCCACTCCTCCCCTCCCAGGAGTCCTCACTTGGCCTGTTTTTGGATGCAGGTAAGTGCAGCGTGTGTGCGGAGGCTCGCGGAGGGCAAAAAACAGGCCTCCTGGAAGTTCAGGAAGGCTGGAAATGGGCCCATTCCTGGCTTCCAGAGAGCCTCTGGAGCCCAGGGAGGCCATTTTCGGCCCCCTGAGGCTCAAGGAAAGCCTCTGGAGTCCGGAAAAGGCAAAAAGCACCCTCCACCTGCCGTGGTGCAGGAGACTGACTAGGACTGACCCAGCAAATGGGCATAGAACCTTTTGCTAAATTTTTTGAAGCCCAGCTGATTACACACACACATTGTTTAATAATTGTAACCTGCTAGTAAAATGTCACCAAAATTGTAGGATTAGGTCACCTCACAAGGCATAATATTCAATTGTTTTGGAATTGTAAGCCACCCAGAGTCATTTCTTGAGACGTGTGGCTATAGAAATTGAATAGATAAATAAATAGGTCTCCCTTCTAGACTCTTCTATTTTCTGAGACTAAGAAATCCTGCCCCATGAGATCTCCAAAAATGGTACAATGCAGACTGGAAAGGAATAGACAAGATGAAATTTGAATTGGATCCCATCCAGTTCCATTTCACGCCTCTGATCCAGAGGAATCTTGAAGCAATTAAGATGGATGGATGGATGGATGGATGGATGGATGGATGGATGGATGGATAATTGAAATGGTTGGTTGATGGCAGAGCTTCGGGTATGGGAATTATTCCTTCACTGAATTGCTATTTCCCACTAAGACTGCACTGTAATATGTCTTTAAGAAATCTTCTTCCTTACAGATTTGTTAATCTGGATCACAATGACTACATATAAATAATTTTCTAACAAAATATACATTTTAAAATACATGTATTCCTGAAATACTCATGTTATAGGCCTAAAATAAAAAT